AGTTTTCTCCAACCTCCTGTCACTTCATCTCTCTTCGGTCCAAATGTTCTCCTCAACACTCAGTCTATGTTCCTCCCTTAATGTCAGAGACAAAAGTTTCACACCCATTCAGAACCACAGGCAAAATTATAGTTTTGTATACTCTAATTTTTATGTTTTTGGACAACAGAGGGGACAACAAAAGGTTCTGGACTGAAAGGTAGCAAGCATTACCCAAGTTCAATCTCCTCTTAATTTCCTCCGTAATCAGGTTCTGATTTGTTATCATCGCTCCCAAATATCTGAACTGTGCCACTTTTTCAAAACATCTTGTTTTCTGTAAGATTTGATGCTTTACTGTGTCTCACGGTGTTGTCGCTTGCAGATTTACCTATACTTTTTCTTCAACCCTGAAGATGGGGGCGATATGTTCCTCCGAAACGTCGGTTAACACCACATATACACGGCGCCAAATCCCAGAAGACTGCTTTCTTCATCTTGTTTTCTATCATTATGTCATGGTTTTGCCCTGCATTTTGGTGACGAGACAGCAACATATACTTTGTTTTCTCTGTGTTTACTTCTAGACCTTACTCCTTACTTGCGTTGATTAAAGTTTGTGTTTTTCTTTATGGTATCTTCATTATCACCCAGTCTAAACACACTAAAACCAAGCCATACTTGAGAGTAAAACCAAACTGAGCAAATCAACTACAACATAATTTTGCAATTTTCTTGTGCATATTTTCAAGTCTGTTACAGTCTGCCAAGGTAAGGTTATTCCAGAACTGAAGCATACTCAAGCTCTGACATAATTAAAGCAGCATATAAAATCCTAAGCCTATCCAGGGAAGATACATAAGTTCACATATTGATGAAAACATATTCTGGATGATTATGTGGGGAAGTCATAAAATTGTAATTATTACTCAGAGAAAACAGACACACAGGTGCAAGAAATTGTAGGGGAATTAGTCCTTCCCTACATATGCCCCCTACAAGGCCACACATTTTCCCCAATGATGCATGAAGTGCTGGATGCCTTGACCATAGAAGGTCTCATTTTGACTGTTTAAGAAGTCCTCCATTGCAGAAATGACGTCATCATCGTCTTGGAATTGCTTACCATGAAGTTGCTTCTTTAGCCATGGAAAGAGGAAGAAGTCACTCAGTGCCAGGTCTGGGGAATGTGGTGGATGGGGGAGAATTTCATATCCCAAACTGGTAGCAAGTGTTGTAGCATGAGCCGGTGTGTAGTCATGAAGAAGTCGCACACATTTATCCAGCTTTCCTCGTTGATTTTTCTTGATTTCCTCCTGTAATTTTCTCAGAAGGTTCCGTAGTACTTGCCAGTGATGGTGACGCCCTTTTGCACGTAGTCGGTCATGATGACACCCCACCAATCCCAGAACACACTCAACATCACCTTTCCTGATGACGGCTCAGATTTGGCCTTCTTTGGTGGCGGGGAGTCTGCATGTTTCCACTGCTTGCTAATTTCCTTTGTTTCAGGGTCATAATGATAGATCCAACATTCATCCATCCTGATCACGCGGTCGAAAAATTCAACCTTTTTGTGTTGACACAACTGCAAAAGTTTCTTTGCCACATCCACCCGTTGCCGTTTTTGAACTGGTGTCAAGAATCGTGGCACGCAACACACAGTGACCTCTGTCATGTGGCGTGCCGCCAGGAAGGCATGACTGTAGAACGTCCATTGCTAGTCAAAGGTTAGCAATTCCTAGGCAACAAAACATAAACAGACCGTTGCCCAGGCAAGTGCTTAAGCAACAGAGACTGAATAGCTGAGTTCCCACAGCAACGAATGTGCAACATTAGGGGGCCCATTGCTAGGCAATGCATGGGTAGACACACCGGACTACAATACAATGGGAAGTTGTAATGTTTTGATTATCACCATGAGAAAATCATAATTCCAAAATATCTTTCTATAATAGGAAACAGTTCATTCCCTGAGCTTGTCGAACAGACATATTTTCCCGCGCCAAGTGTACAGAGGGAGCCACCAAAAGGGGCAGAAGCAAAATGGCGACATCGGTTGAGAAAGTGGAGGCTTGCGCTGTGATATGGTCTCTGCATTTGTAAGAGGAAATCTGCCAGGGAGATCCATGATCAGATGACCGCTGGGTATTAGAAAAGTGTACCATCATACAACATAGTGGTCAGGAGGAAGAGGAGCTTTCATTGTGGACAGACAAACCTCAAAGATGAACCCTGAAGTGGAAGACCATCTCTTGCTGAGGAACTGGGAATTGTGGCACAGGTAAAAGCTTTGATCCTATCCATTAGGCACATAACTATTGAAGCTATTGTTCATGAGGTCTGCAGTAGCCATGGGTCGGTTTTCAACATCATCCATGACGAGTTACAAATGACAAAGGTCGCTGTGCATTGGGTGCCATGATTGTTGACACCAGTTCAAAAACGGCAATGGACGGATGTGCCAAAGAAACTTTTGCAGTTTGTCAAGATGAAAAAGTGGAATTTTTCTACCGCCTGATCATGATTGATNTCTTCATAGTCACCGCCGTGAAAGCCTCAAATCTTACATGATTGATGGTTGTCCGATCTATCGTTATGACCCTGAAACAAAGGAAATGAGCAAGCAGTGGAAACATGTAGACTCACCACCACCAAAGAAGGCCAAATCTGAGCCGTTGTCAGCAAAGGTGTTGTTGAGTGTGTTCTGAGTTCAGCAGGGTGTCATAATGACCGAATATGCATAAAAGGGCATCGTCATCATCACTGGCGAGTACTACGGAACCTTCTGAGAAAATTAGAGGAGGAAATCAAGAAAAAGCGACGAGGAATGCTGGGAAAAGGTGTGCGACTTCTTCACGACAACGCAACGGCTCATCCTGGTCATGCTATGACAACACTTAGTGGCAGTTTGGGATATGAAATTCTCCCCCAGCCACCGATTGACTTCTTTCTCTTTCCACGGCTAAAGAAGCCACTTTGTGGTAAGCAATTCCAAGACGATAACGTCATTTCTGCAGTGAAGGAGTTCCTAAACAGCAAAAATGAGACCTTCTGTGATCAGGGTATCCAGCAGCTAACGAAACGTTGGGGAAAATGTGTGACTTTGCAGGGGGCATATGTAGAGGACTAACTCCCATACAATTTCTTGCACCTGTGTCTTCGTTTCTTCTGGGTGATAATTAAAATTGTATGACTTCCCCACATACATGACATCCATTGTCGAGCAGCAATGTTTTCTGTGGATGGTCTGTGAGGAGCCTATATAGGAAGCAGTGAACACTGTTCAAAGAGATTCAACTATGGGTAAAGGAAGAACAAAAACAATCCACCGAGAACAGCAGTGCATAAGTATAGCCACTGAAGAAGGAACATGAAAGGCATTACTGAGAGTGATTATAACTGCGAGTGTAAACAAATAATTCTCCAATAAACATCCATCCAATCCGAAACCCATTGTTTCTTGTTGCGTTATGTGGCAGTATTTTTGTATATAACTTGTGTTAATATTCCAGACGATTACTTGTTCATGTACTTACTCCTTGGTGCTGGGTGGCTCTTCCAGTTGTCTTGTGTATCAAAGATTAGTAGTGTTTGCTAAGCTGGATTGAGTCTGTCTTTGATATTGTGTGTATGTTGCTATCTGGTGTTTATTTTTTGCAATGTTTCAAATACTGGATTACAGACATCAATACACATATTATTCACATGTAATCTGTTTCTACCAACCTTATATATGAAGTATTTCTTCAACGCATTCAGATGCTTTCCCTTTTTCTCTATTTTCATAATTTTCATTGTATCAGCTATACTCCCACATGCACGTTCTGTATTTAATATGTGATTCAAATATCACAAGTTACTGCTGCCATTCCTAATTTCTTGTATGTGCTCTTTATATCTGATGTAGAATATCTGGCCTGCTTGCAATGTGTATTCTAGTGGGCAATCCATAATGCAGTGGTCAAAACATGTAGTCCAATGTACAGAAACTTTAAATAAGATTTAAAAATACACAGTGTGTAATACAAAAATCTTTTAAATAAGTTTTAGAAGACACTGATTCAGTGACATGTGTTCAATAGTTTTCTGAATGTTGAGGTCTAAGTGATTTTTAAAATGCCACCACATTAACATTCACTTGTAAACGTCTGCAATCTTCTGCCAACTTCAGTGATTGATATTGTGATGTGTTGCCCTGTGCAGGACACCCCTCCCCTGCCAGCGGTGACGTAACACCATCAGAGCGCCGTCGTTGCTAGGGTACCAGGCAAGTCAACACTCCTTCCCCCACCCCGCCAGCGGTGACGTGACCAAGGGATGCCGCAGTTGCTATGCAGCCGTAAACAACTCTCGACAACGTTGCTAGCAACACGGCGCCAGACAACAGTGGTGCCTATTACGTGGCTGTTTTCTTGTTGTCCGGAACGGGGCTAAATAAGGAGCAGCGAAGACTATTCAAGTCAGTTCTCAAGTTATGGGATAGTTATGAGTCAGTTAGTTACGAGTTAGCCAGGCAGTTAACCTTTCAGTTGTAGGCTAGCATTTGCAGTCTAGTATTTGTGATACTGTCGATGGCAGTAATTGGCAGATTGTAATTTGTGTGATTGTAAGAGCGAATGTGGAATAAAATTCGCTACATCCAATAAGGCGTGAAGTTATCTGTTGCATATACACCCAACACGTGACAATATATTTTCAAATCATCAGCAAATAATATAAAAAATTACAGTGTATATATATATTACTAATAAAAAACACTATATAAAAGGGGGACTTGGGTGAACTCTGCAGTATACCAGAAAACAGAAAGTGAGGAAGAAGTCCCTATTACATGGAAACAGTGGATGTAGGTGATAGAGAACTACGGACCCAACCACTACACCGTAATATAATAATTAAAGATCACATGATTCCGACTGAAAATTTTATCCTCATTTCTTTTATTGCATACTCACCTTGTAACAAATTAAAATTCAATGATAACGAAGCTGATAATATTTTTGGCAAAACAAACAAACCTGCAAGTGTGGCCATGACGCTTCTAATGTTGGGTCATCTTCTTCTGGATCAAAGTCAGGGTTCTCACTGGGCGGCAACGTCCGAAACAGATTTGCTGAGATCTGCCACACAAAATTTAATAAATTGATAATATTCTTCCACAAAATGTGTACGAGTATTGAAAGAGAGTTGTAACTCCTTAGTTTTCTGAAAAGTCCAGATGATCAATGGACAGTTTTTGTTTCCTATCATAATGTCTGATGTAATGGGACTGTTTCCATGATATTTAGCTTGTCATGGACCAGGGAATAGTACCATATCGCTTTTAATTAATATCATAACACTATCAAGTTGAGAACATTCTGCCCCACCTCAGAACAACATTCTGAGGTGGGGCAGACCAAGTATTAAAATCTATACTTCAAAATCTTCAGTTCTCTAAGAGCCATTAAACTTTACAACATTGTTTCTTAACAGATGAATATTTGGAACGCTAGGTAAATCAGAAGTTTAACAGTCCCTGGCTATCAACATAATACAGTATAAAGTGAATACAGTATGACTACAGGAAGGTATATTACCTCAGAAGTCCATTCATGAAATCTTGATTCTTCTGATGAACTTCACCTTTTCCTTATGGAAAAGTGAATTACAAGAGATGGCTACAATACCGTGGCAGGTAACAAAACGCCATTCATGAAATTTAGCCAGAGACTGTACTTTATGGTTTCAGAGACAAGAAATTCAGTTCAAGATCATCCATCAACAAAGAAGAACAGGAAGAATCCATGTGGGTACTTCTGAAAGGGAATAGAGAGTATCTGGAATTGAAAGAACTGCCTGAGTTAGGAAATGGATGGTGGCCATGTCAATAAAGGTCAACATTCAATATCATATCTGATGTACACAGCATATGGGTGTGTTCGTGCAGTAAGAGAAAACAGCAATATTTGTCATGTAGTTACATTAAAGTAACAACATGGAAATCATACTGCTATACAGTACATTCCCACGTAACAAGAATGTACATTATTTAGGATTTAGATGAGACAAGCATGGAAAAGGGTTTGCTGTTTGTGCCTCCTCTGTTTTGTGAGATTCTGCATTTCACTGTTTGCATGTTCATATTTAGGACATATCCATACTTCTTCAGTACTGTCACAGAACTAACTTTTTCATTTGTCAATTAACTGATTTCATCCCAGAAAATTATATGCATGTTAGTCACGAGTTTCTTTAATTACATGCAACTTGAAAAGGTATAAACTTTTTCTGTGTGAATGCATGCACATTGTTTCATGCTGTGTTAAGGGAACCAACCACTGAAACAGTTTCTATTATGTATACAGAGAGCTAACTTTTGAATCTAAAAAAAAAAAAAAAAAAAAAACTCTAATAAAGAAAAAAGCATATGCACTTTATTTTGGTTGCAAGGTAGGGAATCATGACAATACATGGGCACTTTATATATAACGAATAATGTGTTTAAGATTTGGACAGAATGGCTAAATACATTTTGTCATATTCTCTTTGCTATTTGTGTGGTACAGAGACCAGCAGAAGACCCTTAAGACTGTTATTTCTGGCTAACAAGTACATAAGGTTTTAATGCATAGTCTACACATATGGCACAATAGCCAAATTTATCATCAGCCATAAGGCCTACTCTATACAGCAATGATTTTCCAGAACGAAGGCTGCTACACACATCAAAGTATGGACGATGAGAATGAAAGCAATGTATGATGAAATGATGAAGCTCAACACAATTCTCTGAAGGAAAGTGAATAGAATGCTGACCCACTGCTTGAAGCATCTTATTCAATGATAGAATCTCATTTAATAATTCCAGCAGATTTGAGCAACACTTTCCATGATCTGAATTTGTCAAGAAATCAATCAGAACTCTGGCTTTTGGATTCAAATCTTATGTTTCTGCTGCAATGAGACATCTGAAGATGGCCATCTGTGGCCGAAACATATTGTGTTAAGTGTTAAATAGTGAAATTGGAGGAATAAAAAAGGAACAATTGTTGCATTATTGACAGACTGTGATATACATAAACATTAATCCATGAAGTTACTTAGTAGTGGCTATATTGATGCAAGGCAGAAACTTAGTACATCACATCATTATTGAATTGAATTGAATTTATTTACATTCTATAAATCCTAAGCAGGTTAGTACCTTTGGATACAGAACAAGTCAAAAGGTTACATACATAAGTACAGGCAATTTTAGCTTAAAAATTAATATAACTTAATTTTACATCATTCTCTATTTACATTGAAGTATTCATCTAAAGAGTAGAAGGAATGAGCATGTAGATAATTCTTTAACTCTGATTTAAACTTTTTAGTATCATTGCCCAAGTTTTTAATACTTTGTGGCAGATTGTTGAACACTTTTATGCCAGTAAAGTAGACTCCTTTTTGATATACTGATAAAGTTGATGAGGGTAGGTGGAAGTTATATTTTTGTCTAGTATTCATGTTATAGACATCAGAATTTAATTTGAATTTATCTTTGTTGTAAACAACAAATAGGAGAAGCGATAATATGTATTGCGATTGAAGAGGTAGAATTTTTAATTTCTTAAATAATTCTCTACATGAATCTCTACTTCTACATCCTGTAATGATTCTAATTATATTCTTTTGTATTTTAAAAATTATTACACTATGTGAAGAGTTCCCCCAAAATATTAATCCATAGTTCATAATAGAATGAAAGTAGGCATGGTAAACCATCTTCAATGTTTCCTGTGACATAAAAGGCTTAATTGATCTCATCGCATAGCAAGCTGCATTTAATTTAGGTATAATTTGTTCAATATGTATTTTCCAAGACAGTGTACTGTCTACATGTATTCCAAGGAATTTTGTATCAAGTACTTTACAGATTAATTTGTTGGCATAACTGATGTCCAGATCAATTTGGTGGTTGTTTTTAGTTGTGAATGATATGTAATGGGTTTTATCAAAATTTAATGAGAGTAAATTGGCTTCGAACCATCTGTTTAAGGCTTCAAATACAATATTTATGTCATTTTTAAAGTTTTCAAATTTAGAGTTCTTAAATATTATACTAGTGTCATCTGCATATAGAATTGGTTTAGATTTATTGTTGATGGTTTTAGATAGATCATTTATGTAGAGAAGAAAAAGTAAGGGACCTAAAATTGATCCTTGTGGAACACCGTGCTTTATAATTCCCCAGTTTGAAAATGCATTATGACTGGAGTTTTTATTATTTATTTCAACTCTTTGATACCTGTTTTTGAGGTATGATTTGATCCATTCATTAGCTTTGCCAGTTATTCCATAGAAATTTAATTTCGATAGTAAGATATCATGATTAACACAATCGAAAGCTTTTGCTAGATCACAGAAAATCCCTCCCACAATTAATCTGTCATTGAGAGCACTTAAAATATCGTTAGTTAGTTCATAGGTTGCTTTTTCTGTTGTTAGGTCTTTCCTAAATCCAAATTGCTCTTTGACTAATATGTTGTTAGAATTTAAGTGTTCAAGTAGTCTATTATACATAACTTTTTCAAAGACTTTTGAGAATGAAGTCAATATGGATATTGGTCTGTAATTAGAGATGCATTTTCTCTCTCCTTTTTTAAAAAGTGGTTTCATTACAGCGTATTTTAAGCGTTGAGGAAAAGTACCTGATGATAAAGATTTATTACATAGATGATTCAAGGGTGAACTGATGTAAACAGAGCTTGCTTTAAGTAATTTGGTAGAGATTTCATCATATCCATGTGAATTTTTGGGCTTAAGGGATTTAATAATGTTTTCAATTTCCTTCCTTGTTGAGAATTTGAGATTGATATTTGGAAATGAATTGTTAAAGGCACGAGACAGATAGTATATTTTATTATTATTATTATTATTATTATTATTATTATTATGCTTCGTCTCTTCCACAAATTAAGCAATTCACTGCTAAGGACATAAACTGGTGAAGTACAATAAATATACTTTATCATCCAAATGGCTTGCCATATGGTTCAGAGTCAATGTGTCTTCCTGTTAACGCAACCTCTGAGGCAGAGTCAAACCCTTTAAGCAGCTGAGTTACTTATTCTTACCCATCGAAAGGCCAGCTAACACCAGCCAAGCAGGAGGTGGGGATGACTTAGCCGGTGATACCATCAAGATTATATGAAATATGTTATTTCCTATGTGAATTGAACAGCCAAGCTTGGGAAAAAAATTACTAAAAGAAACAATGGTCATTTCAATAACAACTGATCCCAAGGCAATACATCACCAATCACCCTTTAGTCAATCCAGAAATTTTCTTGTTGCGATTAACCTACATATTGAACCCAATTTAGTGAAACACTTTGTTATGACAATGCATTTCTCCATCTGAATCAGAAACTTCTGAGGATCTTTGAGGCTAAAATCAAAGAAGGGATATTTGTGGGTCCACAAATTAAAGAAACACACGAGGCTTTAAGCAAAGCTGAAGGAGCATCTTGAAGAGCATTTACACTAGTCACCACTAATTTCCCAGGAAAATTCATGGCAGAGAATTATGTGCAACTTAAATTTATTGATATCTACAGTTATGGGATGCAAAATACAATTAAAATTAATTTGACAGCACTAAAAAATAAATATATCATGGATAATTTCTTATACTAAGAGACTATGACATGTGACTGCAATATACACACCATTCTGATGATCTCAGGGTAAACAGGCTCAGTAAGTACACCCCGGCCTGCTGTAATGTAGTCCACCAGCTCATTCAGAGTAGCTCGTTTTATTTCCTTTCCCTTCAGGTCGGCCACTGGGTCCATGAAGTCAAATGCCACACAGCACTGTCGCAGTTTGCGAATAAACAGCTCCTCCTGCTCTGAAGATGGGACATCTACAGGAACAGAGAAATAATTTTGGTTAGAAGCATGTAATAATGATTCCATTATTACTCTTATCTTCTCCAGTCTTCCACTTGCTAAACTTACCTCTTGCAGCCTCATAGCAATGTTAGAGTTTTTTTTTTTCATTGATCTCCCTCCCTTCTGCTACAAATATTACAGGAAATGGACCTTAGGAAATTAGTAACATGCCTGCAGTATTTTACTATTCCTTCTTGAAGTATGAGGTACTCTGACAAGAGCTGTGCCTCAGTATTCCACGTCATGTACCAACACTATAACAACAGCTCTCAACCTTTTCTAATTCACAGACGAGTATCCATGTAATGTACAGTAATAAATATTTTACAAATTCAATTATCACTAGAGTGTCTGAACATTGTTACTTATACAAATGAATCCCATTATGTGGTATTAAAAGTAGACACTTCTTTATTACCCACAATGAACATTCACAATTAAAAATTACGTATAAAATAATGTATCAGACACATTCATCTTGCAAGGATCTTGGGTTTCTCTCCATTTCTAAGGGGAGTAGTTACCAATCCCAAACTCCATGTCATCTTTTACTTGCTTGTCACACCACTAAATGAATTAAAGGGGAGAGAAAGAACTAATGTTTACACAGATCTAATCGCTGAAAGGGAACAGAAAAAAAGTTACTACTAATTTTTCCAATTTCCAACGTGGAACGGTCTCTCAGAGTTATTGGGATCAGATTATGGCATGGTGTTATTTCACATTTATTTGTTTTAACTTAGCTCTGTATTCAAGTAGTTATAAATATTACAATTTTATTCTGAATACAGGCCTCATTAGCGCAAAAATACAATTTTTATATGACTTGCTGACATGAAGTGTGTTCAAAAGGTCACTAAAATTATGCGTGTGGGGTCTTTACATTAAACATAAGGAACCACCAAGATAAACAATTACAGTTTCTGAAATTTCAATGTAGAGTTTTGCTCATGGGCATGCTAAACGCTGTCTGTCCTGCTCACCATTTCTCCCATGAAAATGATTCATTTAACTCACAATTTCTAAGCACCTCTCAGTACTGACAGAAACACGAAGCCTACTGGAGCAGGAGGCTCCCAGAAAATCAGGTAGACCGCCACCAACAGTAAAGACTTCATTAGACCCCAAAGCGACTTAAAAGAACACGTCAAAGCAGAGTATGAGTTCCAAAATACACTAAATTAACCCATATCATAACAAAATAAATGGGGGCAATTAACAAAGAAATCCTACATGGCGGAAAATAATCTCCACTATTTTACCTTCTCCAAAAATTCCGAAAAGCCTGTGGGATGACATTATATGAAGAGACAGCCACTTCTAGAACTGTTCTATAATATTTATTACAGTTGCACAGTATACAGAGATGAACTTGAATTTGGAGAATTCAAGTCAAAGTCAAAGTCAAAGTCACCTTGCGACTGACGGCCAGTTAGTCAGTAAGTCTTGGTTTTGAGCCCAGATATTTATTACTGTTTGACAGTTACAGTCTTGTTTTTGTGGGGCGCCCTCTCTGGCGAGAGGACGGGTCTGTATTTTGTATATGCTGCTGGCCCTTGCCCGCGCACTCTTTCTTGGGTCCGAGTCCCCTGTGACTCGTTACCATAATTTACTGTCTCAGAATTGAGACTTCCCTTTTCGTCACCTCTTACGACTCGCAAGTTCACAGTGGAGGTATTCGAATCCGCCTCCACACGGGGTTACTCCATTTGGAGAATGTATCTTCTTATATAACCAAGAGTCGGATATATAGAAAACATGTCACTGCCTAGCAACCGCTGTTTACTCGGTTTCCATAGCAACAGCTGTTTACTCGCCGTTGCTAAACAATGATACTTGCGTTGTCACATTTGCTTGACTGTGNTCATATTTGCTTGAATGTAAGCAGTTCCCCGCGGAGATTGTTGCTCAGCTGTTGAAGCGAGCAGGAAAATGTATGTGACGTCTGGAGCGTGCAGTACGTGCTAGAGGCGGTGGTGGTACGGCATGCAGAGCCGCGGTTGGGGTTGCGTCGGCTACGGGGTTGAAGGTCTTGGTGGTGGTCCCACGGTCTGTCTCGTTTAGCATGTAGGCNAAGTATCGCCTCCATCTTCAGGGTAGAAGGAAACATATAAGAAATCCGCAAGCGAAGAGACCGTGAGAGCCGGTCGGTTAACGCCACATATACACGGTGCCAAATCCTAGAAGACTGCTTTCTTCATAGTCACCGCCGTGAAAGCCTCAAATCTTTCATTAATTG